TTGCCCGGACAAGACTGCAGAAGCAGGAGACGGGGTGCCAGCACCCAGGGACATCAGTGAAGACCCCACAGACTACAGTTTATTTGAACATGGACGGCAGGGCAAGTGGTCTAGGAGACTGGGCCTGTCTTTACACGCTGACTGTGGTACCCGTGTCAAGGTCAAGCTGGCTTTTCTCTGCCATCTTAGTGACCACCTTTTTAAACAAGTCAGCCAGTTGGGTGTCTCTTGATTTGGTCATTCAGAGGCCAAAAACCCTCGAGTGACCAGTTTCCTTCCTACTCATTGAGGCTGTACGTCTGGGATGTGAACCAAAATCCATCATTTAAAGTTAAAAGAAAAATGGAACAATTCAGCTATGAGGGTGTTCACTGCAACATTAATTATATTGTTGCCTATAAGAGCATAGAGTCAGTGAATTATAACCCATCCATATAGTACAGGAATAATATGCAGTTGTTAGATACATGTTTTCCAAGATTACCTTATGACATGGGAAAATAAATCTGGATAACATACTCTACTGAGAAATAAAAGAAAACTGGGTAAATATTCTACTAATTATAGGGAAAAAGCACATACATGCTCACCCTGAAGGAAGCCTTGGAGGCAACGCATCAAATGTCAACAACAATCATCTCTAACCGAGTCTTCTATTCTCTGCATTTTCCAACTTGTCTGTTATGAACATGTTATTTTTTCAGCAGCAGGAAAATGTGTTTTGTCTTGTTCTCTTTTTTTTCCACCAGGGAAATGATTTCTAAGCCCAAAAAATCACAAACGAACTTTTAAAAGGGTGATGGTTGAACGCTGGTCACTCACCATGGATCTTCCCTAAACGTCAACCTGCAGGCTTCCGTGTCTCAGGAAACTTGCCACGTCCCTGGCTTCACTTCACCTCTCTCTTCTTATCTTTCCCCCTTCCTCCCAGGCCTCTCTGAGGTTTGTCTTTAGAAAGATGAGAATCCTAACTTCCCTGGGATTCAAGATGGCTAAGCTCCCCTGCCACAGGGCCCACACAGTCTGGCCCCACTCCCACCCACACCCTCACCTCTCTGACACCAGTCTGCCCTGGCCCAGGGTCTTAGCAAAGCTGTTCTTTTTGCCTGGACCCATCCATCTTCTCCCAGGTAGCTGCAAGGGTACACGCCCTCACCTATATGCATTTTGGCATTATATAGTACTGTCCACGAATTTTCTCCAGGACAGTAAAGAATGCTGTAGAATATGTGTTATAAAAAGAGGCCACGGGCCTGACAAGGCTGGGAACCACTGCTGTGCTGTGATTGCTGGTTGGCATTTCTGTCTCTCACACTCAAATGGAAACTCTGGGAGGGCGAGGACTGAGCCCAAGCATATTTGCTGAAATGAAATGAATGAATACAGGAGCAGGCCAGTGACCCCTAAGCAGTGAGGACCCCCCGGGGCAGCTGCAGTGTGAGGCTGTGAGAGTCACACCCTTGGCAGTGTGTGTCCTGACTGGGAGGCAGCCGGGACATGCTCCCTGGGCAGGAGCTCCTGACCCCAAAGTGAAGCAGGTCTGGGTGCCCCACAGGCCTCGGGGGAGCTAAGGGCCCTGGAAGGCTAGAGCAAGGAGCTGCCTGCTCCCTGAACCAGCAGCAACCCTGCCTATCTCCAGAAGCCCACCGCTCACCAGGCCTGCGAAGGGTTATTGGTCATGGAGGCTCCTGGCTTCCCTATGGGTGAAAAAAAGACTCCTGGAGGATTCGGAATACAAGGCCTGCGCTAGAATCCTGCAGTCTTACGAAGGCCACTTCGACCTCTCTGCATCTGTAAGCTGGGGTCACTCATACCTACCCAGGCCCAGCCTGTGGTAGGAATCAGAGAGACTGTAAACATGAGTGTCCTGGTCAGCTGAGAGAACTATGTAAATCGTGGTGGCTGTTACATGGGACAATAATAAACAATAATAGTTGTACTGCTGAGCATAATTAAATGGTGATTCAGAGCCCTTCGGGAGCTTATCGTTGTCGACATCAGCTGTCACTGACCACTGACCGGTATTTTGGATCAAACGGGATTGTTGGAATTTTCTTGGCATTTCAGTTCTAGATGAGAAAGGCTTTTCTGAAACCTACCAAAGCATGCAGGTGAGCACACTGGTGGCCTGCTGGAGTCCGCTCTAATCCTTTGCTGGTCCCCACCCACCCACGCCTCCCGGGGACCAAGGGAGGGTTTGTCTACTTCGGCAGAATGTATTCACTTGAGCAGGAAGCTCTGCTCTGGTGCAGCCCGTCTCTCCACTCCACCCTCTTCCTTTGATCCTCCCACTGAATTCGGAGCTGGGACGACAGAGGAAAAGCCGCTCAGATGTAATTATTTTAATTCAGCCAGATGCTGGGAATTAGTCTCTTTTCCTTGCAAGTATTCTTGGGAAACTCAGCCAAAGATGGCCCAAAGAAAAGGAGCTGACAGTCTCAGGGAAGGAGGGGACACCCCCCACCTAGTGCTGGAACAGCTTAAATCCAGGAAACGGCTGCCATCCCTGGATGCCGGAGGGAGTGGGGGTAAGAAAGGAGCGGGGCGGGCTGGTAGGTATTAAATGCAAACTGTTCACAGTCCTGTTTTCTGGGTCTAGTTTTCTAAGTCCCAGAAAACTAGACCAATGACAGCACCCAGCATTTTCTAGAGCATTAGAATTTCCTAAGCATTTTCACTTTTATGACCTTATTTAATTATAAACTGGAGAGGAGGTCACTGGCTGAACTAGAAGTTTGGGGCAGACTGAATTTAGGCTCCAAGGAATTGTCTCACCCAGGCTCCCTGCAGAAGCCAGGCGCCCGCTGGGCACAGTCCCTCCCCGTTAACCCTCACAGCAACCCTCTGCGCCCAAGCGCACAGGTGGAGAGCCTGACTGAAACAAGCTCTAGCCTCCCGTCAGCTGGGTTCTCTCCTTGGTCTGAACTCCAGTAGTGTCCAGATCAGGAGCACACAGATGTGTGGTTTTCATCATTGCTGCTGCTGTGCTTCCTGTTCATTCAGCCACGGGTTGTGATAGGTCCTTGGGAGCGCCTACTGTGCGCCCAGCCCTCTGCTGGTGCGGACCTGGGGGCAGGTTTAGGCCCGCTGTCAAGTCCCCCAGAGCCCTCACCCGGGGCGAGCGGGCCAGCCAAGAAACCAGAAGCAGCGATCGCGTAGGAGTTGCCTTAGTCCCTGCTGCACTGCCCTGTCCTGGCTGTTGTGTCTCGTTCTCCAGCTGGAAGCCCTGGAAGCAGTTTGGGACACCAGAGGCCAGTGTCTTGGCTCTAGAATCAGGCTGCCTTGGCTCGATCTCTTCTACTCAGCGGCCGTGTGACCTTGGCAGTCACTTAACCTCTCCGTAAAATGAGGACCATAATATACCAGACACTGTGATACAGCATACTACATATTACATTCATATTATAATACATCAGATAAACAAGTTGATACATGTGGCCATTCAGCACAGTATGTGGCTCAGAATAATTGCTCAATTAATGTTGGCTTATGATTTATATACCTCCATACCAGTAGTTCTCAAAGTATGGACCAGGAACCCCTGCCCCCAGCAGGGGAGTTGGGGGCAGTCCATGAGGCCAAAACTATGTTGAAATAATGCTAATAAGACGGGGGAGTTTCTACAAGTTGCCCAATGGTGACTCGCAACAGACCGACTGCAGACGCAGACACGAGAATGCAGTTCTCTGGTGTCGCACCAGATGGTAAAGAGATTGACAAATATTTAAAACAAGGCCACTCTTCTCATGATGAGACCTTTGTTTCAGGAAATATAGTTATTTTTCAAAAAAGGTGTTATTTATGTTAATCAGGGATGGGGTAAACTGCTGTTATTTTTGAATACATTAATACATGATTTAAAAATTCTTCTCAACTTTAAATAAATATTGGTAGCTAACAGATACAATAGCTGTGACACCTTCCCAGGCAGGCCAGAACATCCTGTTTCTCCTCATCCCTCCCAGGCCCCTAACCTGAGCTGGGCCCAGGAAGCTGGGTGCCAGGTTACCCCCCGCTGGGTCTTGAGCTCACGCTCTGTTGCTGCCTCCATCTTTTCTCCCCAGGGCCCATCACGTTCCCACCTGTGGCTCCTAATTGGCCTCCCAGGCATGCCAGCGGTGGCCCGGGGAAAGGAGCCAGGGTTTCAGAGCCAGGCTGACCTGTGTCAGCTCCCTGACTCCACCACTTCCTGTCCTGTGTCAGGGGACTCAGCCTCCGGGCCTCCATCTCCTCACCCATGAAACGGGGATAGCAATGATATCTAACTCTCGGGGCTGTTGGCGGGGGTAGTGGTAACTTATGTACAATGCCCATCACTTGACATATAAGAATTATACTTTATCATTGCTATTAGCCATCAGGTCTTCTGAGCCCTTTCAACTGTCCTGATTGCCTGCTTTTCTACAGTCCCACGGCAGAAGCAAAACCAAAAGCTGCCTGGGATGGAGACTCTGCTTCCCAACACGCCCACACAGTCACATACATGCACACACAGTCACACACATGCACACAGTCACACACACACACGCTCTCACATCCGACCAGCCACATGCCCTCGTTCCCTCAGCCCCATGCAGGGCGTCACCCTACTCTAGAGCGAAAAGTGAAAAATGACAACTGAACGCCAAGCGCCCAGGCTCTAAGACTGAAAAGGCCCCTCTGCTGCCGGTGTCAGCACCAAGGTGGTCTTGGCTCAAGGACACACGAGTGGCAGCAGGACAGGAGCGGAGGGAACCCTGGCCCAGCTCTGCTGCTGACCATGGGCGACCTTCCTCCCCTCTCTGGGCCTCGGTCTTTCACCTTCTAACTTTCACCTTCTAACTTTTACCTTCTAACTCCGATGTTACGGAATGCTGTGACAGGCAAGACTGGGGAGCCCTGTCTTCCCGTTCCCGCTAAGGACACACGTGGTCCTGGGGCCAAGGGAGGCCAGCCTCCCCTCCACGCCCCCCTCCCCCAACATACCCCAGGTCCTGTCCTGGAGTCCCTCGGCCACTCACCCTACAGTTGCTGAGCTCCTCAGCGGACAGGATGATGGTGCCACATTTCTTCCCTGAGACACCGCTGGGAGAGGAAAGATGAAAGGGTGGAGAGCCAGACAGAGACGGAGATACACCTGGACACTCCCTGAGTGAGCCCTCCTCCCCCTCCCCCGCCCCCACCACCCGGCAGATCTTCCCCGGGGCCCTCGAGAAGACAGAGTCCCCTGAAACACTGGCAGTGTGGCCTAGCGCCCTGCTCCCTGGGCCGGGCCCCAGGCCTGGAGCCGCCCCACCCCGGCTCCCCAAGAGCCCACCAGGAAAGGCGGCATCTGCAGCTACAGTCCTAGAATTGGAAAAGCATCCAGACTCACCCGGAGGCTTCCAGACCCGTGGTTCTCAAACTTTCCATCCAAAGACCACTTCTGTGGGCAAAAGACCTTGTGGGCTAGCCACCCCACCCTGCACCCAGCTGACCCCAGAACCCCAGAACATTCCAGCTCTGAGCCACGCTGACTCACCTCAGGAGAGCAACAACAGGGAGAGAAGCAGAAGGGCTGGCGTAACCGCGGGGGCAGCCTGCCAGCCTCTCTCCCATGACTACCGCCCCTGGGACAGCTTGGCTGGAGTCTCTCTCCCAGAGAAATCCCAGACAACCGTGCAGCTCCTCGGGGAGATGGGCGACGAGGACCTGAACTCAGCCCACCCAGACAATCCCCTCCAGGAGGGCGAGTTCCCCAGGTGGGGCCCCACCCAAGGCACCTACACCTCTCTTCCCTTATTCAGGAGAGACCGCTCCCCAGCCACCAGCCCATTCCACTCTGATGTTTAGGGCTGAGCGGGGGTCCCAGTGCAGCCTGGAGCCACTGGGAGGTAGAAGGAAATGTCAGGTTGTCCTGCAGCTGCAGGACTTTGAGCTCCTTACTGTACCTCTCTGAGCCTCGGTTCCCTCACACATGCAATGGGTATGACTGTAGCACGCATTTGACTACTATGCACACACAGCGCCTGGCACAGAGAAGGCCCTCAAGGAGCATCATCCCCCCGCCACCCCCGCCTGGCCCCCTTCCTGTCCGATTGTGCAAAGCTGATCAAATCCAGTCCCACACTTCAGGCCCACCCAGGGCCACCTGCGTGCTGTCTGTGGAACACATTTTGAGAACCCCTGATGGAGCTCTTCCCAGCAATTCTCGGGGGGAGGGGCTCTCAAACAGAGGAGGCAGGGGAGGCAGGAAAGCCGGTCCTAGGGGCTGATGAGATAGCAGGATCTTCCATATGGGATGAGCGGGGGCCGCATCTGGAGGTTCCCTTGCTACAGGCAGGTGGCAGTGCCTGCTAGCTTGTCCCCTTAGGGTGGCTGAATCGAGTGGCCCAAAGCCCCTCCCCACCACCTGCCTGGTCCTTCCTGGTAGTAGAGATATGGTTTGTTTGACCAGGCAATAAAATCTCACACCAGCCTCCTCGCCCAAGGCTTCTCCATCTGTTCCTCTCTTTGCCTCCGAGTCCCTGTTCTATTTCCAATCTTCCTTCCCCTCTCCAGCCCTGCTCCCACCTGCTCGGCCTTCCTTTCTGTCTCCCTCCCTCCCTCCCTCTGGCCATGCTCGCCCCTCCGTCTCTGTTTCTCTCTCTGACTCAGGCTGTCTTTCTAATCGCTTCTCCTCTACTCCCTTGTAAATCAACATCCACACTCTTCCTGGGCTGTAAGCCTCCCCGGGTCCCCTGGAGACCCCTTTCCCACATCCAGCTGGTCTGGTGGCCAGTGGAGTTTTCTTACTCAGACAAAATGCTCGTAATCAGGAGGTACCTCCAGGCTGGTTCCCCAAGCCTACACTCCTCTCCTGCCCCCCGATGAGGTAAGGACCCTCCCTCCAACCAGGAGAGGAGGAGAGGGAAGGAGTGGGGAGGGTCTGCATTGCCCACTTTTGCATGAGGCCAGGCAAAAGCAGGTGGTCAGAGTGGAAGATGGCCCACCAAAGCTGGTGAGCAAGTGCAGAAAGTGAGGATTTAGCTGAAGCCACTCTCTGGACAAGACTGACATTCAGCAGTGGGAGCCATGGAGGAAAAGGGAGAGAAAGGAGTGAGAGGCAGAAGAAACCAGGCCAGAGGGAGAGAGGGAAGGGAAAGTGCCCAGACTCTCTGACTCCTGTTAACAGCCCCTAGCTAGACCCCACCCTGCTCACAGAAGTCCTGAGAGCCACTGGGGCTGCTGAAGCTCCAGCTCCAGCCTGGATGGGGGCAGGGACCAGCTGCAGAGCTGCCCGAAGTGCCTGAGCCCTTGAGAAGGGACCCGGGGTCCTCTCTGTCCTCCGGGCCAGGGCGGAATGCGCAGTGGTGGGAGTGGGGACTGGGCCAGGACTCTGAGGCCCCTCTGCAGAGCTGGCAGAATGTCTGAGGGCCCGAGGGCCAGAGAGGTCAGGTGACCTACCCGTTGGACACAGCTGGCATGGGTTTGCCCGTCCTGGAGTTCAGGCTGAACGCTCCTATCCTGTGCAGAGAGGAAGAGAGGGAGCGTGTCATGAGCCACCTGTTTCCAGAGACCAGAGTGCTTGGCATCTGGATTCTTGGAGACAGGTTTCTGGCCTGGATCAAACATTAAAATAGGACCAAAGCCACAGGTCAGAGGAAGAAGAGGTCTTCTTCCCAAACCCTGTGGTAAAGTCCTGGGCAACTCTAGCTCAGGGGTTCTCAGAGTGGGGTCCCGGGTGGCGGCAGCAGCATCCCCTGGGAATGTGTTAGAGAGGGAAATTCTCAGGCCTCACCCGGGACCTGTGGATCTGAAACTCTGGGTGCAGAGCCCAGCAGTCCGTGTCTAACAAGCCTTCCAGGGGATACCGATGCCTGCCGCCGCCTGAGGACCGCCGCTCTCCCTCTCTGAGCCTCGGCATGCAGGCTGTGAAGTGGGGAAACGCCGAGAGCATCACAGGAGATCAGGCCCAACACAGGGGCCTGGGGGGAGGGAGCTGCTCAGACTGGGCCGAGAGGACCTCCGCACTCGCACACACACATCGTCAGTGGGCAGGGCAGGTCCCCTCCTTCAGCAGCACCGAATGCCTCCACCAACCTCCACCGTCGGGGTCCTGCTTGCCTTTGAAGGCTCAGCTCCCTCGCCATCTCCTACCCCAAGTCTTCCTCAGCCTCCCCGGGGCACCCTCCACCAAGGGTGGACCAGGAGACAGCGGGCAGAAACCAGACCCGACTGGACCCAAGTGGCTCATGAGCTTTTGACCAGGCAGTTGGGAGCTGAGAGGGGCAGACACACACTTATTTATGGGACCCCATATTCTAGAAGCTTCAGAGCCCCCCAAAACTAGGCTTGCTCCCTGTTCTCAATAAATGATAGCTATTATCATTTTCTGTGAACCCAGAGGAAGTGACCTTTTGGGGACAGGGAGGCCTTCATGGGTGTCCTGAAGTTATCACAGTTAGTTACTAGGGGTTCAGAGACAAGGGCCTGGGAGGGAGAACTCCCCCCCCCCCACCTACACACACAGTAACAGGTTCTGCAGTTATTGATCACAGTGAGGACACAGCATCTAGCGTGAGCTTGGCAGAAGCAAGCTGGGGTTGATGCCCAGCCCAGCCTGAGCCCCCTTTCCTGCCCACCCTGCGCATGACCTGGATGCTCATCCCAGTCATCAGGCCTCTCTTGACTGGGCCCTGCTCCTGGGGTTTCCTGAGAAACAGGGACAAGAGAGGTCACCACCACCACCTGGCCAGCCCTGGCTGGTCCCTGAAGCCGCCCTCAGACTCCACTGAGAGAAGCCTTGGGACTCTTCCCCCAGAGCCTGCTTGGGATAACGGCTTTCCCCTGAGGGCACGCAAGGCTCTTCAGTGCAGGCGGTAGGGGGCAGAGTGAGATAGGGAAGCTTCGCCAGCCCCGTGCTGGCCCACAGCAAGGGTGAATGGTCTGAAATGTGCGCTATGTAAGTAGAACCCTCTGTTCAAACAAACCCCAGCTCTCCCACTGCCCAGCTATGTGGCCTTGGGCAAGTTACTTCCCCTCTCTGGACTTTGGTTTCTTCCCTCCTACAAGGATAAGGGTGGGAGACTAGGTAGCATCTCAGACCCTTCCTAGGAGTATCGGGCTCTAATAACCAAGTTGGGATCCCTCCAAGGTAACTGGGTTAAAGGCCCTGCAAGGGGAGGGCCCATGGGGTCTCCTTATTCCTCACCATCCCTCATGACTGGCTGACAGCTTTGCCCCCCGACTCTGAGCCAGCCCTCAGCAGGGCAGACAGGAAGTCGGCCCATCACTGACGAAGGAACGCAGACAGGCCCCAGTCTCCTCTACACTTACGTGAGGGGCTTTTCCAGGCGGCTCCCGGGAGACCCCACAATCTCTCCAAGGGTGCAGAAGGCCTGGCCCAGGAAATCCTGCAGATCCAGGGTACAGAAAACACCAGTGTCACCCACGCTGCTCACAGCCATCCCAGCTCCCCCATCACCCCACCCCTGGAAGTGTGAAGGCTCTGCAATGACAGGATACAGCATTGACACACACTCGGTGTCACAGTGAAGCCAGAGGCTGACTCAGAGCTTGGCATTTAAGAGACTTCAGAATCGCTGGGCAGTCACAGGTGGAACTCACGTGTTTGGATAAGTCAGGGCTCTTCGAGTCAACGTCGTATCTGCAGGGAACACAGAGAGGTGATGATGGCAGCCGGGCGTCCTGACCCAGACTGGATGGGGCCCCTGCACCACAGAAAACAGGCTCTGACCCCAGAAAAGCTCTGACAGAGGGAGAGGTCCATGGGAACCTCCTGGTCACCTGGGGGAGACGGGTTCCCAGAGGTGGAGCTAGAGTCCTCCACACTCAACTGAAAACAATGGCGGGGGTGGGGGGGCTTTTTTCCCTGCCCCACCTCCCTTCCATCTCCTGATGAGGGTGAGGCTAGACTTCAGCTAATAGTCACTTTTATTCCAGGTCAACCCTGAGCTTCCTCTCACATCACTGCCCCTACCTCCCCTAGTCCCGCGGCCCCACCTCCCACCACTGCTGCCTCCCCAGCGCCATCCTCAGCACCATCTTCCCCTTACAGGTCGAAACGGAGGTTCTGCTTCTCCTCGAAGAAGTAGTCCACAATGAATTTGCGCACAAAATCGGGGTTGAGAGTGTTGTCGATGACCTCAGTTCGTCCAAACTGCAAGAGGAAATAGAACATGGACCTCAGGGCCAGCTGATAGGGCAGGGGAGCAAAGCCAAGGCTCTCCTGGCTGCCCCATGCCCAGTCCAGGTGAGAGCGTTTCCCTCTAACAATGGACACCGTCCACACTGTGGCTCCAGTTTTCCTCTCCCTATCTCTGTCTAGGCTCCACCCAAGTTGAACAGTTTTGATACTGGGATACCTGAGCAGGTGCTTGCTTCACTTTCCCACGTCACTGCCTTTGCCTTCAGGAAAAGTTTTACTTTCATTGAACTTGTGCCTGCCCTGATGACCACCATTCTTCCCTGACTGACTGCAGTTGAGTGTGTACCCACTGGATGCCCCCACTGTAAATGCAGGGGCAGAGACCGGGACGGGGGGATCAGACCCCATCTCTTGGCACCCACAGCCTTGGGTGAGCGCCCCCCTTCTCCTTGAGTGTGGGCTGGACCTAGTGACCCACTTCTAATGAACAAACCAGAGCACAAGTCGCTTCCAAGATTCTATCATCAGGACTACGATGTCAGTTTTGGGCACCCCTCTCGCTGTCTCTAGCTGGCCCACTTTGACGAAGGCAGCTGCCGCTCTGTGCGCTGCCCTGTGGAGAGGCCCATGTGGTGAAGAGCTAAGAGCAGCCAACCCACCCCTAAAAATCAGAATGCTTCTAACAACCACTGAGAGCTCAGAAGTGGACCCTGCCCCAGCTGGACCTTGTGACAACCGAGGCTCTGGCCAACACCCTGACCGCAGCCTTTCAAGGGAGAGGATCCCATGGAGCTGCACCCCGACTCATGACAGCATTGTTTTGTGGCTACACTCTGGGTCAGTTTGCTACTCAGCAGCACATAACTAACACGCAGACATAACTTTCCTGGTATCGCCTGCAGCATATACTGTTCACACATTAGACACTCAGTAATTGAATACATCAGACTCTCCCAAATGACTTAAGGAAGTCTCTCCCCATTTCTGGGCATCAGAATCATTTGGAGGATTTGTTAAAACACAAATGCAGGCCTTACTCCCAGAGGTTCCGATTCAGTAGGCTTAGGGTGGGTCCTGAGAATCTGCATTTCTAAAGACGGAGATGATGCTGCCACTGCTGGTGCAGGGACCTTCCTTGGAGAACCAGTGGGTGACACAGTGGTGCCCTGAACCCTGGGCTCCCAGGAGCCTTCCACGCCTGGGAGGAGGGTAGGGAGGGCGAGACTCCGGGCCATCACTCCGGTCAGAGAAGCTGTCTTTTACACATCTGTCCGATACACTGGACTTTTCTGGTGAGATTTTGTTTCAAAAAAGGGACACAGGACTCAAAGACAGAGCACAAAGCACTGCACCTCCCCCTCCAGGAAGGGCGGGCACAGTATTCCCCGAAGTAAACAACAGGCATATGCACAATAAATATTTTAAATAGGTTGTTCACCTTTCTTAAATCATAAACATGTTTTTTTGACTTGGATAGTAATTGCCAAAACAAAACATTTGTCCTGAGTACTAGTCCTCCTTGACGGGGCTCTGCAGCCCAGAAAAATGCCAGCACACGGGCCCCTCTCACACATGGTGGGCAAGGTCCCCGTTACTGGGACATACCTGCGTGACCCCTTCTACCCAGAGTCAAGTTAGAAACCTGCGAAGAGAACCTCCCCCCTGAGGCAGGGTGGGGCCGTGTGAAGAGCACCAGTTTGGCACCTTCGTGCCTTCACCCCCTCATCCAATCCGCCTCTCTCTCCTGTCAGTTCCACCTGCTGGATCTCCTGTGCCCGCCCCCTGTGCTGTTGCCTGGGACAGAGCGCATCATTCTCTCAGCTCAGCCACCGCGGCAGCCTCCCAGTGGGTCACCCATGTGGGCCACTTGCTTATGCTTGACAACTCAGCTCCCAGAAGTCCTGCTCTACAATTCCCAACCCTTCCCCTGTGCTTCCATACTCTTCCTCACATCCCTATCGCTGCCCTTACTGCATCGCCTGGTGATAATCTACTGAGGCTCTTTCCGCCCGACTAGACTGAGCTGCTCAAGCAGCAGGAGGATCCACGTTCTCCTCGCCTTTGCAGCCCAGGACCTGACACTGCTCGACAGTCACAAGCTCACAGATGCAGACAAACGTAGCCCCAGGAACTGCATTAAACATTTAATCGTTTTGTGGTAGACTTTCTCCACTTTGTTGATGAGAAAACAAAAGCACAGAAGAGTTAAGCAATTTGGCCAGAATCACATGGCGAATAATCCTGATGCCAAGGCACAAACCCAGGCACTCTGGCCCGTGCTCTCTAAGCCATGTTGTGCCACAAGTAAGGTCCCAAGGACAAGGACGGCAGAAGCTCACTGCCCCCAGGGGCTGGTACACAGCAGGTACCCAGGAACTGATGAATGAAGGAAGGTTTTGAATGAGGAAATGGATGAGTGGGTTGGAGTCCTAACTTTGTCACAAGCTAATTGTGTGCCTTGATCAGAGCCTTTGAAAGCCTCAGTTTCCTCAACAGGAAATGGAGACTATTCCTTTCCCTGCTCACTTCTTAGAGGTACCATGCAATCGACTCAATTATTAATTCGACAAACAGTTTTTAAGCACTTGTTATAACCCAAGCGGTGTGCTGGGTGCTGAGCTATAAACATAAATGAAACACGAGCCCCGTACTCAGGGGCTTTTCTGTCATTGGTGGGACAGCTCACAAACAAACGACCACCACGCAGTGTGCTGACAGTGCTAACAGCTATATGCAAAGCCCTAGGGCAAGGTCCTCCGGACAGCTGCACACTGGAATCGTGGGGAAGCGTGAGGTATTGAAAGGTACCAAAAAGCAGATCACTAGGTGCTCCGTGTCACCTGTTAGTCCAGATGTGTGATTTCATAGAGGTCTGCATTTTTCATTACCTTTAAAATACTTTACAACTCTGCAAATCATAGAAGGAATAGAGTAATGTAAATGATTCATGTCTGTAGATATACAAATAAATTTAGTTCAGTGGTATGCAATTGATTATTAGATTATTACTTTCTGGCTATTGACTAACTTTGCATCTATTTACGAATTAACTTCAGCATTCCTGACTTCCCATTTGTGTGCGTTATTTGAATTTCAGTAAGTCCTCACTTAACCTCATTGATAGGTTCTGTGACTTTAAGAGAAACGATGTACAGCAAGACCCATTTTACCACAAGTTAATGATATAAGTAAGAGTTAAGTCCCTTTGGTATCACAGCAACGTTCTAGTAAATCGACATTGAACAAAAGACTTTATTTGAAGACCTGCCGTATTGTAACATCTGACTGGTTCCTTCATTAATTAATGAGTTAAAGAAATGTTTGCTATGTGTTCATTTTATATTTGTATAGGATTAATCATTTTACTTTAAAAAAATCCTCACCCAAAAGTGTATTTATTGATTTTAGAGAGACAGGAAGGAAGGGAGGGAGGGAAAGAGGGAGAGAGAAATGGCGAGGGGCTGCCTCCCTCAAACACCTTTAAAAATTCGTCTGTCAGGGTTTCAGATAAAGCCCCGTCCAGAAGGAGCACACATTCCGTTGTGCACCCCTCTCCCCACCCCACTGCTGGCAGAGACTCCAAGGAAAACACCCATTAGGGGAGATGACAGGGCTGCTTGGCAAATGGCACTCGAAGCTTCGATAGATGGGAATTCCCCAGAGATTGATCTCTGCTGGAGAAGAAAATGGAGTTCCCCTGGAAACAGGCTGTGGGGGCGGCGGCGGAGGGGGGCACTCCAAGGACCCCAATACCTCCTGGAGCAGAAAAGGGGGCGAGAGCCGAGAGAGCCCAGCCGGGAGGGCAGTGATGCATTATCAGGATGGGGGGGGTGGTAATTAACATGTGCACATCACAGAGGACTGGGAAATCTACAGCCCAGAGACTTACTAAAGATGTTTTATAGCCTTCATTACTTGGGCTAATAACAAAGAGAAAACATGCGAAAACTTGAATTTTAAAATCCAAGAAGCTTCCAGGTCCCTGTCAGGGCCAATTTATATCCCTATTAATGGTGGTATGAACACAACTGAACTGATGTTCAAAAAATCAATGTGGCTGTATTTCATTTTACCTAGAATTGTGGAGTTTTCAAGTGGAAAGGGACTTGGCAATGAGGTGCGAGCAGTGGGAAGCACATGAAGGCGTGTGGTCCGACTGACTGCATTACCTGGGGCAGCAGGGGAGGGCGGGTTAACCCCTCACCACCTGCAGTCAGAGCCAAGCCAGCCCTGAGCTCTCTTCCAGCTCCCTGGCCTATCGGTCCCTCCCTCCAGTCCTTCAGACACTCAGGGTCTGAAGGTGGGATGGGGACCTCGAGTTGCTCACAATCTGGGGCACAGACATTCTCTGATCAGCAAAGCTGAAGAGAAGCCCCCAAATCTTTGTTTTACCCATGGACTCTGATGTAGAGAGCCCCAGGGTAGGTGGGCGGGTGTGGCCGGTGCCGGCTGTGGTGTGTAATGGAAGGGGGTGCAGAGCCATCGAGGTGAGGAGGACCTCCCTGATCCCAGGGGCCAGGCAGCCTCCCAGGGGGAGAACAAAAATACAAATGAGAAAGAAGCCTGGAAATTAGGGTATTCATTCTCTGAATAGCTCACTTGGCAACAGAACCCAAAGGGAAAAGCTCCTGACTCTCCGCAAAAGTTGCTCCCAAGAGTTCCCAAAACCTCATGACTGAGCCCTGAGAATATCAATTAAGCAGCATTAATTATATGTCATCAGCTACAGTGAGACCCTCAAAGGGGAGGCAACTGTTCCTCCAAACTGCCCTGGGGCAAGGGCCAAGGTGGGGGCTGAGAGCGAGAACCCAGGTAAGACAGGTAAGGCAAGCGGCTGCAAGCCACTCAGCGAAGTCTCCCAACATCTGGGTCAACTCCCCACCGTCGCCCAGAGGAGGGTAGTGGAGAGGGGAAGCCAGGCGAGAGCCCAGGACCCCCACTGGCACAGTCTGTTGCTCATTATCCACGTGAGACAACATGGAAACCCCTCAGGGACTGCAAGTCCTCATCGC